GTAATGAGATACCTTTAAGGAACAAAAGATTTCATGCTCATATATAGATGGACTGATATTTTGGAGGTGATAGCCTACTCTGATTCAGACTTCGCTGGTTGCATTGATACCAGAAAATCTACATCTGGCTATGTTTTTATGCTAGCTTGTGGAGCTGTATCTTGGAGCAACAAAAAGCATACCTTGACTGCTACTTCTACTATGGAGGCTGAGTTCGTTTCTTGTTTTGAGGCTACCTCACATGGTGTATGGTTGAAGAGTTTTATATCTGGGCTTAGAGTTGTGGACTTAATTGCTAAGCTATTGAAGTTATATTGTGATAACTTCGCTGCTATTTTTGGCTAAGAATAATAAAAGTAGAAGTCGAAGTCGAAGTAAGCATATCGACATTAAATATCTAGTCATAAGAGAACGTGTTAAGGAAAAGAAAGTGGTCATTGAGCACGTTAGCACTGAGTTAATGATTGTTGATCCTTTAATAAAGGCATGCCACCAAAGAATTTTAAGAATCATGTAACTCGAATGGGACTTGGTTCCATGATGTGACAATCATTGTAATTACTTATTAAAACTCTTATTTAGTTTGATTTTTTCTCATTTATCTTGTGCACATACCTATTTACTTTGAGAAAACTCATTTAATTATGACCTGGAATAAACGTATGGTTTATTCATTAGAGCTAAGAGCTTAGGATGAGAGACTTACTATCTTGTGATACATGGGAGATAATACTCATTATCAGAGGACCTATCACCATGATTCATATATTTGGTTTCCTATTTGATTGATAATTGGATAAATGGACCAAGTGGGAGAATGTTGGCATATATGCTATTTTGAAAAACCGTTTTGCAACAGTCGTATAAAGGGAAACAACGTGCTTTAGATTTTCACGTATGCGTTCCTGATTCTTCTACTTGCTGCGATTAACATATTAAGAATGAGGTCCATTATTGATGTTGATTCAACCCATTATCAAATGACTTGCGGATATGGTACCATGATTCTCGCACATTTTCTCCAACGTTCAAAGAGACTCTACGATGGATTAGAGTTCTATAAATTGGACGCATATCTCTGTTTTGAGTCTCTGAGCCTACTCTCCTCTTTAGTATACGACACAATCGCGTATTGAGAGCAAGGGTTCAGAAACCTGAAGCAAACAAGTGAACAACAATGGCTGGAGGTTGGTCCTTTAATTTTTGCAATTTTGAGAATGATCTGAACGTGTTTGTCTTGATTTTTGCCATGTTTAGATCTTTAGAATATTAGTTTTACAAAAATTCCCACAACCAACTCTCCTAACTCGTCTACTATGCGACAACTCCATATCACCCAAGCCCAACATTCTCCACACCAAAGGGGTACTATCACAATGAAACAACAGATGCAACACATCCTCATTCCCATTCCTACACTACGGGCACAAAGACCCCCCCCACCAACATGTCTTTGATGAAGGAAAAATTTGGTTGGCAAGGCATGTTTGCATATATAGCTTTCAGATAAAAGAATTGACTATTCTCACCCAATGACACCAAATCCATTTTCATAACGTTTCTTGTAGGGGTGTGTGCAAAAAATCTAAATTGCTCTGAACCGATCTATAACTGATCCGATCCGTATTGAAAAATTCAATCCATTTTGAAAAAAATTCGAACCAAACCACTTTAGAAAACCGGTTCAGTTATTTGATCCATTTTTACAAAGTGAATCGGTTCGGTTCGGTTTAATTTTTTAAAAAAACTGATCCATATATGAGTAAAAAGTGGATAACTGCATCGCACCGAACCGATTCAATTTCAAAAAAACCAAACCGATCCACTTTATAAAAATTGAGTCGGCTAACCAATCCACTTTTATAAAATGGTTCGGTTTAGTTTAAATCGATTTTTTCAAAAAACCGATCCATGAACACCCTTAATTTCTTGGATTAGGAGGCTTGACAACGTTTCTTGTATTTGTTTTGAACGTGATGATGTAGGAACATTTGAGTCGATCGATCTTCTTCTAAGACCTGAACCACTAAATGTTATAGTTGTGGCAAACAACAAAAAGAATCATTGTATTTTGATTGGAGGATAAAAATATAAATTTAAAAATAATTTTAAAATATAATATTTAATGTATTTGAAATATCGTAACCATTAAGATTTTAATTAATATATCTAATGGTTCCAAATTATAGTCTATTCATATACCACATGACAAGACACTTAAAGTTTGAAAACTATAGTCTCACCAGGGAGACACTTAACAATGGACTTCACATTAAAACGATTCTAAATTGTAAAGAAAATGATTTGTAGAGACTAAAGATCTGCTAGAAATTTAACAGGAGAAATAGATAAATGTGTAAATATATATAAAAAAAAAGTTAATAAACGCTAATCGGATATTTAATAAAAATCCCAAATAATAAAAAAGTATTTTTTATTGAAAGATACGAGATAAATCAAAGATATGCATATCAAACATTTTTTCTTCTATCTTTTAATTATTCAAAAGTTGAACCAATAAACAGGCTATAAGTGTTTCATACTCCCGTTTCATACAAAACAAAGTCGTAACTTTCAACACTTCTCTTATGATGTGTTTGGTTGCGTGGAATTTGAGTGGAGAGGAAGAGAAGATTACAAAAGATAGAATATTACCTTTTATTTGTGTTTGGAAGAATTGACATAACATGAATTTGCATGGAATTTTAGTGGAACCTACTACCAAAAAGTTTCTTCACTAAGAAGGTTGAATTGCGTGTGAAACTTACTAAGCAAAGACAACATAGAAAGTTATCATTCGTTTGTGATATGCATCGCTAAATATGCAGTAATTAATGCTTGATGAATCATACACCATTTGAAATGAATACTCACCTATCAATCCTTGTTTAAAATGACAAGATATATGGGCATATTTGAATATAATATATATAATATTATTATTTATTAATTTTAAAAATAAAATAATAATAATTATATTATAATTATAAATTAAATAATATATTTGATTAAAATATTAAATAATTTTTTTATATATTTAATTATTAAAATTATTAAAATATTTATTTCTACAAAAAATATTATATAAAATAAAATCTTAAAATATCAATTTCTCAACTAATTTTACTCTGTGAAATAATTATAAATTTCACTTTACTTGTATTCTATTTTCCGTCAAATCATGTTTCGAAGTCCCTTCCATTCCTACTTCTCCAGTAAACAAAATATTATTGTCTTCGTTCTTATATAATACCCAATTATTCAATTTACCTAGATTAAAAAAATTAATTTAATTGACAACAATAAATTTATCTTATATATATTTCTATTTAATATAAAATTAAAATATATAAAATTAAAATTTAAAATATTAATTTCTTTCAATTTTTGAATTAATCATACTCTATCAAATAATTACAAATTTCACTTTATTTATAACCTATTTTCTGCCAAATCATATCTCACGTCCCTTCCATTAATTTCTACCTCTCCCATAAACAAAACATTATTACCTTTGTTTCTATATGTAAAATCTAATTATTTAATCTACTTAGATTAAAAAAAAGTAGTTAATTTATTTGATAACAATAAATTTATTTTATTTATATATATTTTTAAAATTATCTTTATATTATTTTTTAATAATACTCATAAATATAAATATATATATAT